CCACTAATCTATCTCCTGCTTCATTCCGCACGCCAAGTCAGAATTTTCCAGTTATTCCAGATGTTGTTGTGCTTCCAACTTTGGCGTTCCAGTCCCCCATGATGATTATGGCGTCTTTTCTAGGCGCTGTGTCAAGGAGCTGTTGAAGATCAGCATAGAATTGTTCTATTTCATTTCCTTTGCATCTGTGGTTGGAGCATAAACTTGAATGACCGTAATGTTGATTGGCTTGCCTTGGAATCGAATTGAAATCATTCTGTCGTTTTTTGGGTTGTATCTGAGCACCGATTTAGACCACACCTTGTTCACAATGATGGCCACACCATTTCTTCTTTGAGTCTCATGACCACAATAAAATATCTGGTGTTCATCGGACGTGAAGTGGCCCATTCCAGTCCATTTTATTTCACTGATTCCTAATATGTTGATATTCAATCTTGACATTTCCGCTTTAACCACGTCGAGTTTGCCTTGGTTCATTGTTCTAACATTCCATGTTTCAATTGTATGTAATTCCTTGCAGCATCGCACTTTTCTTTCGACCCTGGACACATCAGTAGCTGGACGTCCTTTCGGCTTTGATCCAGCCACTTCATCAACTCCATGGCTACTCGTACTTGTACTTTGCTCTTCCTCAGTAGCTTTTTGAGTACCTTCCAACCTGGGGGGCTCATCTTCCGGTACTATATTGAGATTGCTTTGGTTGTAATTGTCCATATTGGTTTTCTTGGCAGAATTCTGGAGTGGGTTGTCATTTCCTTCTCCAGTGGATCGAATTTGGTCTGATCCCTCAGCTGTGACCTGTCCGTCATGGGTGACCCTTCTGGGAGTATGTTCTCCCGACGGTATAGCTCGCAGCCTCCTTGGAATACACAAGCTCCTTCACCGCGGCAAGGTAACGATCCATGAAGGGGGACATAACTATACATAACTACAGAAATATTTTTTATATAAATAAAGACAGAACTTTTAGGGTACTCTTTATCAATTGTAAAAAGAACACGGTCTTATATTCAACCATTTCAGTTTCAAGTTTAATATTTATTTATTTATTTGCTTATAGAAAGGTTACACAATAAGAAAATACTCTAACATAATTCATATGATCCTAAAGCCAGATTTGAATAATTTTGGGATAACATCGTAGTCGATTAGGTCTTTTAAGTAGCCATTCATGTAATTGCCGTCGAATTAGATGTGAAAATCAAGATGTTTTAAAGGAATTTTAGTAGGAAAAAGTTATATGGAGTGGAACAGGTTGTTGCAAATGATCAGCAAGAAAACGGATAAGATTAATAGGGTGCGAGTTTTAGCGTAACCAAAGAAATGATGCACACACATTCACCTACATTTTATATCACCACTTACACCCACACCCTAGTAATTTTATGATAAACGACATCCACCAAACGATCTTTTATTAATGGGTTGGTGCATTTGATTAATCCCTTTCGTTTGATTTTCAATTGGCAATCAGTTGTAAATTATTTCGACTGAACTCATCAAAAAAAAATTTAAAAAGAAATGCAAATTTTCGTTCGATGCTTGAATCATATATCAAATCATTTTAAATAAATGTGTGTACAATAGTAAAGAAAGTTCTTGTGCACTTACTGTATTTCTTATTCACTGGGTAGACGAATACGTTTCATTTCATGAAGAAAACAAAACTCGAAAGGGTGTAGATGTGTGTTTTGGTGTGCGTGTAGATATGGGTGTGGAGTGTAAGTGAGTAAGTGCGGGTTTTCTCTTTCACTGTGTTCACTCCCACATTCCGTACTCATACTCACCCACACCCACACCCACACCTTTTTAACATTTGGCAAAGCTTCTTTATAATATGCAAATGCTGGTTTGGCGATTTCCATTTTTCGTCTCGTCCCTGAGAAGAATCAGAAATAAAATTTTCGACAAAAAAGATTCAGAAAATTTTTGAATCACACATAAGCCGCGTAGAATATCTTAGGCCAGAATTCGAGAATTTAGTATCGCATTTCGCTGTGACACCGAACCCAACTCTCTTGTTGATGCAACCATGTAGAACTTGATGAGCTCTACACAATGCACTAATTTGTGTTCAATTTTCGATAAGTTATCATTGAGAAAAAAGCTTAAGAATGATATTCATGCATATGTGCCATATGCACATCCTGAAGCGAAAAACGAAATTTTTTTATATTAAAATTCGTTATTCAACTGGATCCAGCTCTATAATAGATGGATCCAAGTAGCCGCTAACAAGTTCTACAAAATGCACTAATTTTTGTTTTAATATTCACAAGTTATTTATTTCATGTTTGGGTGTACGTGGGTGTGGCGTATGCGTATGGATCTTCTCTTGGTAGCCATATCCGCATCTCCCAAGCAGACAAACTTTTGAGGAAACGTGTTTAAACGCACAGAAATTGACCTAAAATCTGCCAAAAGTGGACGTTTTTGGTTCACACTCGCAGTTCCCGACTGTGAGCCAAAAACGCCCATTTTTTGGCCTTTTTGAGAATTTAAACACATTTTCAAACAAGAAACGCGTGTATGGGCATACAAAAAAGAGAAAAAGAGGTCGCTTTCTTATATCCCAGATGCATAATTATAATTACAGTTACGTTTCTTGAATTGAAAAAAAACACGACAACTTTTTTCTCTTTTTGTATGCATGTAAACGCGATTCTTGTCTGAAAATGCATTTAAATGCATAAAAAGGCCGAACGACGGGTGTTTTTGGCTCACAGTCGGGAAATGCGAGTGTGAACCAAAAAAGTCCACTTTTGGCCGATTTCAGGTCAATTTCTGTGCATCTAAACGCGTTTTCTCAAAAGTTTGTCTGCTTGGGCTGTACTCAATACCACAATCTCATTCACACTCACACCCACATCCCGCCACAAATAATTAGTAAGTTTGGATATAAACGGCTGACAATGAGTAAATACATTTCTTTTTATATCTTTTTCTGGGAAAAAATCTTCGGAAAAACTTTCCTATTTTTAATTGACTGAGATCACTATTCTTACGAGACAAATCAAAATATTATCCATTTATCATTATTGACAACCACTCTAGTATTGTTACCAATTATTGCTCTGGCTGATTTCTGCTCGATGTGCGCATCTTAGTCAAATATGGTAGATCTTCTTTAGGATTAATATTGCTTGTTCATTATTTTCCATACTCATCGTATCAAAATGTCATCAGCGTATAAAACCCTTTTATCTTTGCTAAAGAGGACAGAATTCGATACTTTAAACGAGGGTCTAGGTGTGAGTAGGAATGAGGATGTATTGATATTAATGTGGTATAAGTTAGGAAAAAGACTGCGCTCGTATTCACATACAGTCTCAAGCCCATATCTGCTCAGACTCAGAGCTACATCTGCGGCAGAACCATAGCCTTCTCAACCAAAACTTACGTCTAAACCCACCCACATCGGCACTCTTAGCCACCTAAGGCGTCAAAGACATCCACACGCAGCAGCCACAACCCAATAACTATCGACACCCCACACAGACTTACAAACAAGTACTCTAATCGATCGGCATCTGCTCCACACTCGCACTCAAACCCAGACCCACCAACATATAGTCAGAAACCGACAGTGACACCCAACCCCGTGCAACAAGCACATGTTCACACCCACGGTTACACCAAGTCATACCCACACCGACAGCCATACTTGGCATAACCATACACATCCACACCCATATCTTTAGCAACCAAGACTCACACTCACAGAAACAGCGACACTTTTAGCCATGTACATCAATATCCACACTTACACACTTATGCTAATTCATTTATACTAATTCCCACAGCCACAGGCACAACTGATATACCGGCACCCATGCCATACCCATACTCAACCCACATTCACAGCTTTCTTTTTCAAAAATATTTTTGGCCGAAGAATGGCCTCATTGATATTTGTTCTTTCATAACTTAGTTGGTTTCTCATCGAAACCAAATAAGAACTAAATTTTTTCGCAGAAGTCGCGGGCTTCCGATGGCTAGTTGTGAGTAAAATTTTAGTTTCAGTGCGTGAAATCAACTACCGGCCGTTACAAGTGGTAACCACTCGCTTTGCGAAAATGATGACACTGATAGTCTTTCTTCTATACGAAGCACAGGGTTAAGTTCCTCTGAGCGACATTAGGTCTGTAATGGTTAGCGATAGCCTAAGATTGTGGTCGAGTGGAAGAAGTCAGTTCATCGACTTCAGGAGAAGGCAGAAGTTTGGTTTCAATATCATCATGAGATAGATAACTTTTCGCAAGTATGAGATAGAGAGGTGGAGTTTTGCGAAGATATCTGAGGTCTAGAGATTAAGACTCGCTTGAGTTCCAGGTGTATAGGATGAAGTGAAATTGTGACCTCCGGAGGGTGTGAGTGGATGTGGGTGTGGATGTGGGTATAGGTATAGTTAGCTGCCTTATCTTCTTCGTAATCCACACCTACACCCACCGTGTGATCCTCTCTGAATTACTTCTCTACAATACTAATGAAAGTTGTTTAACAATTTGTTTTCAGCATTGCGATCAATCATCGTAGATCCATATTTTAAGACCATGTGCATCTAACGAAATGTTTAATTTAAAAACAACAACACCAAATAAGTAAGTAGAAACTTTTCAGGCTTATATTATGATTGAAATTCAAAATAAAATAATGAATAATGCTTTTTTAAAATACACTCTTTTGTTACCAGTGCAACATAGGATTTTAAAAAATAGAACAATAAAACATCATGAATATGCGTAAAAATCAAAAAGGAAAATATTTTGTGTAATACATGAAATTTCACCCAAGATAAAGAAAAAAAGTAGTGTAATTTTTTGCAGCTAATGTTGCAAAGCTCAAAATTTGAAGACGTGTCAGTTTCGTGATTAATTTTTAATTATCCGAAGTATCACCATATGAAAAAATCAAGCTGAATATAAAAAATACCAAATTACTGGAATAGAGGTAAATAATTTATTGATTAAATAGCCTTTTTTCAACAGTAATACTCTTTAAATATAAATGCGCACAAATGCTTCGATTTCCCTACGACATATAGGACATGTACGAATTGTTTGGCTACAACTAACACAAGCTACTAGATGACCACATGGAATACAAGCCAGACGTTTCTCTTCTTTGCAACATAAAACACAGGGATTATTTGCTGACAGTTTAGTTTCTGAAGTAGGTTCTTCTACTTTTGAAAGTTCATTCGTGGTGTCCGTATTCATTGGCTCAATTACAGATGATGCTTGTGCTGATGTATCGTTTGCTTTATTCGATGAATCATTTGTTGACGTTGGTGAAAGTGGTGGTGAGACAAACTGTTTTCGAACCAAAGTATCTATAAATGAAGGATTATACACATATATAGATAGACCATATTTGTAAAATTATATTATGCAAACCAGATTGTTCTCGGTCACGAATTAATTTCATTTTAATACTTGGTACGATGATATTATCTTTATTTCCATCGATATGTTCGATTTGTTTTTGAAGAATGACACAAGCGATGAGTAGATCACAATCGCTGACAAAATCATCATCTGAATAAATACGGAAATACGCATAAATCAATGTGATAATGAACATATGTTTTTCTATGTTTATTCGCTCACGTTTCAATTGAAGTTGATCTTCCCAACAACGTTTTACGACTGATAGCTTAAAGCTTTGGTCGAGTAACCTTTGTGAGATTGGGAGATCGAGTCGAGCAGCAACTAGACGTGATAATAGTTTTTCATCGGTTATCTGCAATCGTTGATGATTCGAAGCAGATGAATTATCCGTTGCATTTGTCGAAATTTTAGACTTTTCATGCTCTGTAAAAGAAAATTACTATGCATTTTATCGTTTTCCGAAGAAAAAAATGATTCAACCTTGTCGAATACTTTTGGCTTTTTGAACTTTATTGTAAAGTTCGTTGCCGCTTAATTGTTTCGCATATGCACAATGTGGAAACCACCTTATGTGTTCAATTAATGGATTATCATTTTCGCTCCAATTCTGTAATGATCCGTTACAATAAAAACATCGGACAATATTTCTTACACCAGTATAAAAGAAACCGGCTTTAACCAAGTCATCAATAGAAGGTGATAATTGATTGCTCCATGTTTCAAAAGTTGCTTGTCGACTTGGAATACTCGTATAATCTATATGGGATGGTGATGTATAAACAAGTTGTTCGAATCGAAATCGATTGAGATCATTCAATACAGCTGTTTGACTATCACTAGTATCCGTTGATATTTCATTTACAATCGAAATCGATGAAGGTTCCGTTTGTGTTAGCATAGATCGCACATAAGGACATATTGGCGATAGCGTTTTATGAACTTCAATGGGATCATCCATGTTTCCTTCCCATTGCTGACAAATGATGTTACAATATAAACAAATAACACGATCTCCAACATTGCACTGAAAAAATCCAGCACTGATCATTTGCTCTTTCATTAGTGCTGTTTCTTGTGGCCAATGTGAAAATGTTCGTCGGCGTACTTGTTTGAGTGTTTCTAGTTCGACCACTTTGTTCTGTCGTTTGGCCGGATTTTCTTCATCGTTAGATATCCACTTATTCTTTGATTGCACAGAACGAACAAATGAACAATTCGCATTACGTTCAAGATGAATAGAAAATGGATCCATCTCTGGAATCCATTCAGACACTTTAAGACCGCATATATCGCATTGAACAGTGTCACCTACTCCTGTATATTGAAAACCAGCAGCTTTCATTCGATTAGCTGAATGTATGCCATGTCCTTTCAGCCCACTACATACTTTCACTGCATGCCAATACAATTCACTCTTTATTGGAAAAAGCGATTGTGTATGATCATTATTTTGTGTACAATGACATCCATCACTGAGAGGTATTTCCATATAGGTTATCAGAGTATAGTAGTAAATCTGTAACAAGATGCTACTGAATTTGAAATTGACGATCTACAATGATAGCGAACTACACAATCAACTATACCGGGTGCCCTATAAGTTCACCTGAATAAGAAAAATTGTATAATTTCAGTGTAATGATTAGAATTAACCAAGTATTTTTTTTTTCAGATGATAAATATCATTGAAAAGTTGACATTTATACAATTAAAGGGTTTGAGTCTATACCCACATCCATATAAAAAATGTCCTAGCAAGCAACTCTGTCCTAGACCCGTGTGGTGTGCTGTGAAAGTGAATGAAAGAAAGATTCATACCCATACTGTAATTCTATAAGTTTTCCATACACTAAAAACTTCAGGCGTCTATCTCTTTCAATCTTGTGATAGAAAGAATCAAATTTATTGAAATTCGTCAATTTTTTCCTTCCAGTGAACTCCATAGGATAAATAGCACTCAGTCTATTGAGTTAAAAATTTTATTGTGGGTAAGCCATTCATTCATTGATTTTCTTCTCCTTCCTCTTTCGAGTCAGAGTTTAAGCCCGTTGAGTAGTAGTTTTCACTGGTTTTGGTCTTTCGCCACTTGTTGTACCTCGAACCATTAGAGTTCCGGACACTTCGGACTAAGCTTTTCGATATATTTGCCCTAATTCGTGTGTGACCGTCCGATTGGTCTTTTTCCTGCAAATACAGCTTGGAATACTTGGCACGAGACTCGCTTGTGTGGCATTCTTAGGATATATCCTAACCTGCGTAGTTATGAATGTTCAATGTAAAGAAGTAAAGATTCAACTTCTAGAGATTCATGTATGTTTGAACTCCAAATTTTATCTCGCAGGGCCAAGCCAGTTACTCTACGTAAAAATCTCATCTCAGTCGATTGAATTCGAAATCAAATTTTCTCTGCCAATATTCATTGTTCATGATCGTATATGAGGATAGACAGATGCAGCAATTTAAAAATTGTAAACAGTATTTTTTTGTTCAATTCTGCTTTTGTCACAACTGCCTGGTAAAATGAGTGCAAGACTGTTCTTGTCATACCGATTCGTTAATCAATTTCACCATTCTGTTTTCCACTGCGCGAGAATCGCGCACCTAGTCCAACGGACTGTTATTCAGATGAAGAGTACATAGTTTGGACTCTCTTGAAACCGCTATTAATTCCGTTTTTTCCTCACTGATTTTGATGCCAAAGGTCGAGCACACTACTTCAAATTGATCGAGAGCATTTTGTAGTCCATCTGCTGACGTTGCTCGTCTAGCAACGTCGTCATCAAAGAGAAGAAATTTCATCTTGCTATCACCGATCTCGAGGCAGGCTGAGTTGGTATTTGTGCGAGATAACTTGTCTATGAATATCATAAATAACAGTGAAAATAATACACATTCTTGTCCGAGTCCAACTTACACCTGGAAACATTCTGATTTACTATCATTTATTTGGACATAGCTTTTGAATTCATTGTGTAAAGATTGAATCGCAGATAGAAGACGGTCATGAGTTCCATAATTCTTTAATACTTTTCAAATTAAGCAACGTGGTACTCGATCTTAAGCCTTCTCCAAGTCTGCAAATAATGTATAAACTGGTTTAGTAAACTCGCATGATTTCTCCAGTATTTATTGTAATGCGAATGTTTGATACGTTGTTTCTCTCCCTGCACGAAAACCACATTGTATGTTTTGAATCTGTAGTTCAACAATTTTTCGGCATCTTCGTTCAATTACCCTAACGAAGAATTTTCCAGGAAGACTAAACAAAGTAATTTCTCTGTAATTTGAGCATTCTCTCTGGTCTCCTTTTTTCGAACATTGGAACAACAATGCTAGTCTGCCAATCCACTGGAGCTTTGCCGGTTTCTCACATCACACCGCAGATTTGAGTAAGCGAACGTATACCGTCAGGACTGAGCGACTTTAACATCTCTGCTCTTATTTCATCCATTTCCGCGGCTTCACCTGATTTAAGTGATTTGACAGCTGTTGTGACTTCGATTAGAGAGATATCATTGGATCCATCCAGTGTAGATTCACTTGTTTTAGTCTGCCGTCCAGACAACGGGTTATATGGGTCTGCAAAATATGTTTTCTATTAATTTAGAATGTCGTCTCCTCATGACAGAAGTTGACAAGTGGTATCCTTCACTGAACAAGTTCGTTGTTGTCTACCATAATGAAGTCGACGAACAGTTTGCCAGAATACTTTGTTTGTCGAGTAGTAGTTGGATTCTAGTTGATGATCGCAATTGTTTCAAGACTTCGTTTTCGTCTCATCCACAAGTTTTTTTTCCCTGCCTCGTCATTGTTTATAGTTCGTCAAGTTTTCTGATGTTTGCCGTTGTATTTATCTACGATATGATGTTTTCTTCTGTTCATGTTGAAGTTCGACACACTTTGTTCGACATATATCAGTTGCAGCGTCCAGCAGTACCACGCGAAACAAGCACAACTTTGATTCAATATTGACTTCCTTCGATGATAGCTGAAAGTATTTCTGATTCATTTTTTTCGTAAAGTTTCGGCGGGTTTCTCCATCAGCTACTACTTCCCATCTTATTCTGAACATTTTCTTTGGGTTGATTTTTCTTATTAGAACATTCGACGATAATTGTAAAGTGCAAACAACTGGATGACAATCCGTTGCTAGTTCCGCTCCTCGGGTGACATGCATATCAGCCCTTATTCGTCGTATGTTATCCGATGCAGTGACGAAGTCGATCAATGATCGCTGCCCCATGGAGTCTTCTGTCTGATACAATGTATATTTGTGGATGTTCTTGTGTTGGAAAACGGTATTCACCATCAATAAACAACTACTTGCACAGAAATCCAACAATTGACAGTCTTGGTTGTTGAGATATTTGTCACCATTTCGTCCAATCACACCGTTCCATGTTTGTGAGTCGTCTCCAGCATGTGCATTGAAGTCTGCAATTAATAATATAGAATCTATCAACGAGACACTTTGCATTGCCGTAAGAACTATATAAAGAAATGTCGTGTAATCTGCTTCAATAGTAGGTGTATAAACTTGAATAACTGTTAGAGTTGTCTTCTTTAATTTAAGTCTTAGAAGAGCGACTCTTCCATTGATTGGTCTCCATTCCGGTACTGCATCAGCTAGATAAACGTGTAAGAATATTACTAGTCCTGCTTGAGCATGACTTGTTGGGTCGATATCGAAATAAAATAATTGCCATGCATTATTCACAATCAATAATCCTTTGTCTTTCTGTTTCCTTCATGAAATTCCGAACATACCTGCTTTATATTTTTCTCTACTTCGATTAATTCTGTTTCTTTGCCAGTAAGTGACGTTACATTTCATGTACCTATATTTATTTTGCATTGATGTTATCGATTCTGATGCTTGGTTATATCGAACGCGCCATTCAGGCATCTCGCCATCTTCTCATTTTTTCTAGAACAGTTGGTGAAACTATCGCTAGCCACTTGCTGATGCTAAGTGGTTGGTTTTCGAAAGTTTTCCGGATTGATTCTGGTCGATCTACGGATCCCAATGTTCGATCGGCCACCAGACGCTCGCATATGAGCTTTATTCTCAGACTTGACTCCAAGGACAAGTCCCAGTATCCCACATCCAGGCGAGGTACGAATATTATCTGTTGTATGCATCATGAGAGGTCTGTAGAGATCCGTTAGTGTTACCTAGGAAACGGTACGTGCCTATCACATATCTTAATAGAGAAAGAGTTGAGAACCTCAGTAGAGTAAAGTTGATCCTGGCTTACGGGGACTGGCTCATGTCAGGATTTTTAGAGAGTATAAAAAGACTAGGTTTATATGTTTTAGTAAAAAAAGAACGTTGAAAGATACCTGTGAAATGTGTGTCATCGATGACAAATTTCTGATGATTGTTACCATATTAAAACTAATTTGCTTACGTTTAACCGCTCAGAAAGTTTCACAAACCTACGTTTTGAACGAATTATTTGATCTACCGTAGCTAAATTATCAATGATGATGATTCATTATTGTTCTGGAAGATTTTCCTCACACATCAAGAGGTCTCAATGTAGATTTCATAACTGTTCCTTCGAAGACATTTCGTATGAAATTTATCTGAAAACTTGACCGAAATATTTTAACAATTGGAAAAAGCATAATATTAACAATTTTACATCATGCTTTGTATTTACCAATGCGTGGTGATTACAGAATTAGCTTAGTCGGGACATTTCTTGAAACTCTCAAATAGTTCGATCTCCATAACATTAGATCCATAATAAATCTAGAAATAATGATATTTTAAAAATTGAAGTATTATAAAATAATTAGATGATATACGAGTTGCACTTGAATACAACATGCAGTGCTGTGCCAATAATAAGGACACGATCTATCTTCATCCTCTGTTGGTTACATGGTGTGAGAAAATTCAGTCACTCTGCGGCTAAACGTTCTGATCGCATAACTGATAATAGTTGTCTGCTAACTCTATCTTGTGGGTGTGGGTGGTTGGTGGAGGTCTGGGTAGGAATGTATGTAGACTTCTTTATCACATGCACACCAGACCAACGCGGATCTACACGCCTACACCCACCCCAAGAGGAAAATAACTGACTTTTATGACTTTGAAGTCATTTAGAGCACTTAGATCATTTAGAACGCGAAATTTATTGAAATTCATCAATAACTCAGAATATTTGAAAGCCTATGTTAGTCAATATTCATCTAGAATCTGTTCACATGTTAACATATCAATATACGCTTCGAGGATAGTACAAAAACAATGATTTCACCAAAATACGCATAGAATAAATGTATAACTATTGCTCGTTGCAAAAAAAAGACTGGTGGGTATTTTCCGAATAACTTTTGATAAGAGCAAGGTAGTGAGCTGCGGTTTTCACCATTAGAAAGAGAAAATCCAGGCGCATCAACATGTGCCAAAATCTAAGTGGTCAGCAATGGGCCAATCGGATTCATTTTCGAGAGACATGTTGAGCACGACACTTTAGA